CCGTAACTACCCACTCAGTGCGTTCGGTTTTACGAGACTTGGCAACTTTTCTCGTCGGGCGTTCGCGTAGCTAATCCTACCGTGTGGTCTTCTCTACGCAGACACAAGTTAAACACGTTTTGTGTTTGTCGTTACATTTTGTGGGTCCTTGAAAATTGATACACGGTTTTGTTTTCATCTGTAACTTGATTTTATAATGTTACTTGATGGATCATCATTATCTGCCTACCCTTATCCCACATCAGTTCATGTTTTGTTACCTAGAGCAAAAAAACATGTAGCTAAAGGGATTTCTGATGTTTAATGACCAGCAGGACGTCAATTCTGCCTTAAGTAATGCTATTGTAGGTTGTAGGTACCACTGCTACTTTAGCTAAGGTCAAAAACTCTACATCGCCTTTTACGAAACACTCTGAGTGGACTAGCGGTGGCAGTAGGTATTCTTGTATCTGTTTCTTTATCGTTAGGAAAATATTGATTTCAACCATCTAATCATAATTATTGTTTTTTTTTTCTTGATGTCTATTCAAACACAAATAGCACCTTGGCGCTTATTACGCCAACAAGAACGCTTCTCTAAAGATCATTAAAAACACCAGCTGACCAAAGATAAAATGCTTTGATCCACTTCGTTGGATTGTACTTCCATTGATCATTTAAACACAAATGCTTATTTTAAAGCTGAAAATTTGAGCACGGGAAGCTTTCACTCATGATTGCCGCAGGGCTCATGGCAGTGAACATCTCATCTCAAGGCATTTGATGTATAAGCAAACTCCGACTTTATAGTACTCAACGACGCTAAGTTCAACAGGTCAAACTGAATAACTTTCCCATGCAAAGTTGGAACCAAAGTTCAAAGTAAAAAAAAAGATTGGTCCTCCCATACAAAAATATTTGCTGTCCGAACAATTTTCTAGGGGAGGGAGATTTTGAGCTTAGCGTTTTTTAGAAAAGTAGGTCGTTCGGTGCCTCCCTGTGTAATACGTAGAATATTGAACACGTGAACGTTTTCTATCTGCGGCGACCCTAAACGATCACGTGGAAGTTTAAACAACAATGAAGCACAACTTCCAAGGGTAATCCCCTGGTGTATTACCCCAATTATTAATAGATTTGACAAAACGAAATGTAAGTGGTTATTGATTTTTAGAAGGTTGAAACGAGTATACAAATGATAAATATTATGTTTTAATAAGTAGGTAATTTACAAAGTTAAACTAAGCTTAAACTAAATTTACTTATTATTTCTGGTAATCTGCTCTACATTGTGTTGTTTTAGCATTTTGTCATAACATAAAAAGAGACACATCATTTTTCATCATCTCATTCATCATATTTTTATGGGACTAAGGTTATGGATGTTATTTGTGTAAAGCGTAAGAAAGCATCAACATGAAAAAAGAAAACCTGTAGATATGGCAGAGTCGGAGTCCGCCAAGGTCACCTCGTCTGTGGCAGTAATCGAAAGTCAATACATTTATTTCAAGTCCCACCGGAACAAGCCACACGCCCTGAATAGCAGACCGTTTTAAATTAAGAACAAACATACCTACATCTAGTGCCACATATACATCTCAGTGGTTTAGTTGTACGAATTGGGCTCTAGAACCCAGGGTCGTGAGCTCAATCTAAAGATCGAAAAAGTACATTTGAGATACTTTGCACTTTTTTTTTTTACGGTAGACCAATTTTTACTTAGGTATATTACCTAACTCTTATTTATCTCTGACGACAACAATTTGAGATGGGATCATGATTTTCTTTAACGGTGCCACACAGTCCATAGTCTTACCATCAACGCCAAGCTCAACAAATAACACAGTTTTCCTCAAGAAACACAACAATGTACCCTCCCATAGAAAATTTGTTTGTTAAGGTGATATTTTCGACCAAAACCATTTATTATTACAAAAAAAAAACAATAAACTGATATTGATGGTAGGAACTGATGATAATTTTATACCTATGGGTAGTGATGCTTTTTTATACTTTCACCTTTTGTCATGGCGGTAAGTTGTTGTGAGCAGGGAAGGACTCTATACTGCACTTTTAAACATCGGGTGCCCTCCAAAACTTCTAAGCCTCATTAAATCCTTCCACGAGGACATGAAAGGATCTGTTGTTTTTAACGGCAATACATCCGAGCCGTTCGAAATGCGTAGAGGTGTTCGCCAAGGCTGCGTGTTGGCTCCTACCCTGTTTGGTATTTTCTTCTCATTGCTTTTTAAAGTTGCTTTCGGCGATGACCAACAGGGTATACACCTGCACACTAGGGCTGACGGGAAGCTGTACAATATCTCGCTTCTTAAGTCAAAGCGTAACCGCGATGACTTATTCGTCGATAGCCTTTTGTTCGCTGACGATGCAGCCTTCGTTGCTAATTCTCAAAGTGAGCTTCAAGACATTGTTGATAAGTTTTCCCACGCGTGTTCTCTGTTCTCAATGTCCATTAATGCCAAAAAAACAGTAGTGCTAGCTCAAGGTGGAGAAACACCACGTATTTTGCTCGGTGGCGTTCCCTTGAACATAGTTGACAAGTTTTGCTACTTGGGGTCGACTGTGTCGAACAATCTCACCCTCGATGCTGAGATCAATACTCGTATCGGCAAAGCGGCGACCATGTTCGGCAGGCTCAGTACTAGAGTATGGAATAATAAACACCTGACCACAAAAACCAAGATAATTGTTTACCAAACTTGCGTTCTAAGCATACTCTTGTATGGAGCTGAAACCTGGACTTCGTACGCAAAACAAGAACGTCGACTCAACACATTTCATATGCGCTGCGTAAGAAACATCTTGCATATAACTTGGCAGGACAGAGTCACAAACGAGCGAGTTCTAGAAATTGCACAGCTGCCTAGCTTTACCGCTTTGCTTAAGCAAAGACGATTGCGGTGGCTAGGGCATGTGTACCGCATGGAACCTTCGCGTCTACCGCGGCGTGTCCTGCTTGGCGCCGTAGCTAACGCCAAAAGAAGAGTTGGAAGACCGATGCTACGTTTCAAAGATTGCGCCAAACGGGACATGGCTGCGTTTGACATCGACCATCAAAGCTGGGAGAAGCTTGCTGAGAATAGGGATGTATGGAGAAAGCGTGTGTTTGATGGGCGTAAGGCTCACGACGATGCCTGGTTCGCTGGTCTCGCAAACAAAAGGCAAAAACGACATCTAAACATGCATGTGCCAGTCTCTAATTCCACCTTCGTTTGTAGAGCGTGCGGAAAGTCATGCCGCTCCCGTATCGGCTTATACAGCCATGAAAAATCTTGCCTCAGACACTGAATAAATCGTCTGTCACAGACGTATGAGGCCAATGATGATGAAGTTGTTCAGTTTGACATTTTGAGCTTAGGGTTTTCGGGAAATACCATTGTTCAGTACCACCCTGTATATTTAATCTTCAACCCACGTCCACCCACGTATAGGTACAAAATAGAGAGTATATAGAAAGTTCTCTCGGCCCTATTTCGGATTTTTGCGATTGGCACTTGTTACAAATAGCTTAAAGTACAAAAATATCAAAACGGCAAAATCTGACAAAGAACGACATAGTTTTGTTTAGTTTAGTTTATTTATCTCACATTAGGTTCTAAAAATTCAATTACAATTATTAAAATAAATGTCCTCCATGATAGTGATCGTCAAGTAAATAATTTAAAAAAACATAGTTATAATAAAAATATGAAGTACAATCTTGATTAATTAATTACTAGGTATGTCAAAAAACCAGTGTAAAAATATATAACAACAAAGTCAATAACAATACAATAATTATTAAAATAATTTAAAATTTACAAATCAAATACTCTTGGACAGATTAAAAACATTTTTCCAATAAAAGGTTCCTTCAATCGGTACCGAAATGTTTCGTCACATTGTTGACATATGATTCTGAGCCAATTTTAAACCCAAGAAATTTGACTTTCGTGTCAACCACCTTCTTAGTTATCACTTCCACTGAGATTCCGGTTATTTCCAGTTAAATTCAGTAAGCGTCAAAAACGTCACTAGTACAGAGTGAGCCATCTGGTAAAAGCGCCCGTGCGCCGTTTCCCTAATATGTGCTATAGGCCTCTTTCTTAAGAGTATATAAAAGCAAGAGTGCACGTAGGTATCGGCCCGAGTGCACGTATAGACAGAGTCAGTCAACCGTTCTAGTATTTGAGGCGCACGCTATAGTAGAACCTGCTTATATATATTCTAAGGCCCCTTTCTAGACCACCATCTCTCTTACGTCTATTACCTTACGATTAATATTCCCAACACGATTCCCAGTCCTATCACAAAAGATGTAAAGCACATCTTTTAGTAAACAGTTGCCGATGAAACGGAACCCGATACGTTTGTTTTGGGTCCAACCGGAAAGGCTGTACGTCCGGCGCCGCGCAGCTCGAGACTAGGGATGTCACTTTAGTAACATAATATCGACTTTTTAATAATAATTTATCTAGTACATTTTAATTTAGGTACATTATTGTATGAATTTTATTACATAATAATATTAATGTATTGGAATTTTTAATGCACTCACAGCGCTATATTTTTCTCATAAATTAAATAATGAGAAAATTGAAAAATTCACTAGCGACCGCCGGGACTTGAACCCGGGACTGTGGATCAACGTTCCACCGCTCTACCGACTGAGCTACGGGCGCCTAGCGGACATTAGTGAATCTTTCAACCTCTTGATGCTCGTCTCGAAGCGACGATTAAGCGACATCTAGTAGTAGTTTTTACAACTAATTACTTTGGTTAGTCCACGTTACAGTAGGAATTCAAACCATATCTTTCAACCTCTTGATGCTCGTCTCGAAGCGACGATTAAGCGACATCTAGTAGTAGTTTTTACAACTACCTAATTACTTTGGTTAGTCCACGTTACAGTAGGAATTCAAACCATATGATGAAGCTTTTCGCTTAAACCAATGTATTGGAATTTTTAATGCACTCACAGCGGTATATTTTTCTCATAAATTAAATAATGAGAAAAATTTAGCGACCGCCGGGACTTGAACCGGGACTGTGGATCAACGACCGCTCTACCGACTGAGCTACGGGCGCCTAGCGGACATTAGTGAATCTTTCAACCTCTTGATGCTCGTCTCGATTAAGCGACATCTAGTAGTAGTTTTACAACTAATTAGTTGTAAATTAGTTGTAAAAACTACTACTAGATGTCGCTTAATCGTCGCTTCGAGAATCTTTCAACCTCTTGATGCTCGTCTCGAAGCGACGATTAAGCGACATCTAGTATTAGTTGTAAATTAGTTGTAAAAACTACTGCTAGATGTCGCTTAATCGTCGCTTCGAGACGAGCATCAAGAGGTTGAAAGTTTCACTAATGTCCGCTAGGCGCCCGTAGCTCAGTCGGTAGAGCGGTGGAACGTTGATCCACAGTCCCGGGTTCAAGTCCCGGCGGTCGCTAGTGAATTTTTCAATTTTCTCATTATTTAATAATAATATTATTTTGATAGCTGAAGTAAAACAAACGTCAAACCACCGAAACAAATTATTACAAGTGACCGAAATAAGGTGTCGTGTATTTTTATTCTATTGTATAGTTACGAAAGACCCAAAATAATTAATTGTACATGCGGCATAAAAATCAAGTTGTTTCACTCGGAAATTTGAAAAATTATTTTAATTATACCTACAATAAAATAAAATTGCATAATCGATTATAAACAAAACCGTCTCGTTGTCGAAAAAGCATTGATAACTTTATTTATCGATTATTCTTCACATCACTACTAGAGATACTGACGTTTATAAATCACTTAGTTAAACTGGTTAAACAATGCTCTGTTTTAATCCCGCCTTTTATATCTGCTTTGTTTTAAATAGTTTCCCGCCCGGTCACGGCAAAAAGTATGATGTATGCGCTAAATGCTTTTGTTTATTTTGAGAGAGGTAGTTGTTGTTTTTCTCTCTAGGTTTAAAACGGAATCTTCGTTTTCATACCCGTACAAAGATTTCTTAAACAAAGTCAAGTTATTAATTTAGGCCTGTCACAAAACAGCCGAATACTTTTGCTACATGATTCGACACGCTCTTGGCCCGTTTCGTCACACTTTCTACCTACTAGCGTGCCCGACACGCTCTTGGCCCGTTTCGACCCACTTTGTACCTACTAGCGTGCCCGACACGCTCTTGGCCCGTTTCGACCCACTTTCTACCTACTAGCGTGCCCGACACGCTCTTGGCCCGATTTGTCACTACGAGAGACGAGTTTTAGCTGGCCTCACTTTCTAACAAAACATGTTCTGCCGATCCAAACTGATTTAGGGAAAGAACAGGAAGATGATGATGATGATGAAGTTATTAATTTGATTTAATGCCGGTCTACTTACCCCTATAAAGATTGACTAGATCTTGTATTTAAAATAATTTAATACAAAATACAAATGGTACCACAAAAAGGCGTATTTCCGTGCCGACTTTTATCTTCTGAAGTATTTTCGTGTTTAATGTAGGTTAGGCAAAATAACCTCACAGTATTAGTATTTCTTTCTGATAACATTTTTGTGTAGGTAGCACGTGTACGGTGAAAAATTGCTCATATTTTATTCAGATTCATCCTTATCTCATTTGTAAATATATTCCCTCATTGAATTAAATAAACTGAAGGTTCTTACTTACAATATAAAAGTACTTATTCCTGGAAACAACTCAATTACCTTTTGCTTTTGATATGCTTGCTTTTGAATTTAGAATTACCTGATAATTATTTTAATCAAATTGAAAATAGGTAACCAAGATTGTATTTTTTTTAATGCTAAGCTTCGACCGGTGATCAAATTCGAGGCATCAGTAGCTTAGTGACTACCTACTGAGCTATGACTGAGCAGTAGGACTAGGACGTTTCCCAGTCGAGCTTGACATTTTTTCAATATCTTATTTTAATTTATTTGAATATTAAAGCACTGTGGGTGCATTAATGCCTCAATAATTTAATTTAAACGTAATGTTTATAAACCTTCAGTTCAAACATGTCAGCTTTGCTTACGCAACGTGATTTCTTGGGAATAAATACACACCCTTTTATGTATGCCAATCTATGGCAGTCCCGAGAGACCCTACAAATCAGTTACGTATTGGGCTGAGGTCTTAAACGCGGTCGAAATCAGGGCCCATCTATCAAATGAATCACATCTCATCTATTATGTATGGTGGAGCGGGGCCCTTATCGAGTATTGTACAGTGATTTAAGTGATGGTTGCTACATGCAGAGCTTTTTCAGGCTATTTTTACCTTTGGGTAGAGAGTGGGCTACGTCAGAGAGAACAGAAGTTGATTTTCATATAGGTAAGTATTTTGTAGATTAGGTAAATACTTACCTAGGGCCGCTGTAACAGTAAGAATTTAACCTTTAGGTGCATAATGTCCATTTTGCAAAATGTCCAGTGGTGAAAAAAAGTCCAGTTTGCATAATGTCCAGTTTGCGTAATGACCAGTTTGCAAAATGTCCAGTTTGCAAAATGTCCAGTTTGCAAAATGTCCAATTGCAAAATGTCCAGTTTAAAGATTATCTGACTTGAAAATTACCAGTTTACAAAAGTACAATTTGCGAAATTAAGGTGTGAGTTCAGACCATGAAAGCGATCAACTTTCCGCAAAACACATTGGTCAGTGACCCGGTATTTCATGTAAACTGGACATAATGCAAACTGGACATTTCGCAAACTGGACTTTTTGCAATTGGACATTTTGCTAACTGGACATTTTGCAAACTGGACATTATGCAAACTGGACATTTTTTCACCACTGGACATTTTGCAAAATGTACACGCAGAACGAAAGTAATTAGAATGCCAATTATAGGAAAACTATATGACATGCATTGAGAGATATTATATATAGGGCACTTTATTTTACCGCAAGAGATTCTTCTGGAAGAAACTAGTGGACACTAGTTTTATATAAATGTTTGACAGCGTAAGCTAAGATTTTTAAATTATATACGTCGTAACAATAATCTTTAACTATGTCTCAGTACAACTATTAGTATAATTAATTACCTACTATAATTCAAGTCGATGTCCACTTCACCTTAAACCAGCAACTACAAAACCTTCTTTCAGCGGAATATTTCACAAAAATTACCATATTTTAGCATAAAGGTCATTAACGTCAGCTGCAGGGCACAAGATGGCCGAGCATAAAGTACACTATTACAACGGCCTCTCGTATTAAGAGCGGTCAGTTTGCATGTTTCGTTGGCCTGGGTTTGATGGGGCCTTTAGATAGTAGGTATGATGGAGCAAAAACTGTAGCTGTAAAAAAAAATACGGTTTTCTGCTGCTGGAGCGATTTTTTCTTATTTTACAAGAATTGAATCTAAAATAATTTGTAAAGGTACTGATTTCAATTTCTTCACTTATGAAATGAAATACTGGAGTAAACAGGTGACTGCATATTTGCAGTTTTTGTTTCCTACTTTTATGACAAGTAAATATACTTCATAAGGTTGAAAAAGTTCTCCTTGGGCTGAAAATTTTGTACGAGAATTTCAACATACTACCAACACTTTGAAAACAGGATTCAGTCATCAACAGCGTTTAAAATACGGAAAGTTTGCATGAAACTTTGTTTAATATTCTGCGTACGTAAGTCAGAAACGATAGGGTCGGGTTCGAGGCTCTAAAGAAAATTGAGGGTATAGTCATTTGTTTCAACATTTTACTAAGGAAAGACCCTAAGCATAGAAACCGGAATTATGTTAATAATGGAGCGATATATTCACGAGAATGTGCACGCGACCCGGAATTTTAATGAAAAGATAAATGTTTTGTATTTTTATGCATAATTATTTCATTTTATGCACGCTTGGCACGAAATTATATAATCTTTACTTACGCCGAATTTAATTTGTTTATGACAAAGAAAAGAGGCCGGAAATAAAGCTAGGTAGTACAGATACAACATTAGGTATGGTTAAATAGTATATTAACAATAATAAAATATTGCAGATTTTCCTCTGTATGGGGCAATTTTATCTAAAAAATATGGATATGACTATAGCCAATCCTACATTACAATTATAAGCTAATACCTTGGATTACCTACTTGAGGAAATAAATATCTAGTTAGGTAACGCTTGATTCGATATTTTGTGCTACGAGGATAACTTGAATGTTCAATTAAAATTAACATGAAAGGCACAAGCAGCCAAATAAAAACCGCCAGAATTTGAATAAAAACAACAATATCTCATTCTACGACGGAAACACAAGCAAAAAACACAAAAGACATGCAAAAAACGTGAACGTTTCAGAGAGAGAGTTATTTCATGCGTACGGAACCACGAAAAACATCCGGCGTAGATAACGCACGCTTTAAAAAAACACGACATTCAAATAAATGAAAAACTGCGACCCGACTTTGTCAATAATTTTAATAACCTGCGGACGCTTAATGAAAATTAAAATAAGTGGTGCATTATCGTCTTTCCAAATCAATAACGGCCAAAGATAGATTTATGTTATTAAACTCGTAGCAATCGAGTTTGATATGTATTTTCTTTTATACCAAGTCGAAAGCGGAATATTAACATTTTATCTTGAACTTGCTTGTTATAAAAAGTGATACGCTGATGCCAACAACATGTTTAAAAAGTATCATCGGTTTAGTATGTATATGTTACAGTCAAAACCCTTAACCAGTCAATAACGTTAATGACTGGCAAAACCAGTCAATAACGTTATTGCCTAAGGTACTCAGTCAAAACCCTTATTGACTGATTTTGTCTAATAAAATCAGTCAATAACGTTATTGACTGACGTGCCTAGTCAAAACCCTTAATAGGTATGTCCTGGTTGGTCTTAGATCACCATCAGAACCGTTAGATGGTCGCTGCCAGAGTGGAAGTCTACTGTCTCGATCGCCGGTTGTTATTCCATAAGGACATGCCCAAGTCGTAGACGGCTCTTCACTTATGTTGACGGCAGCAAATACGTGGCCTCCCCTCCCAGAAGTCATAGACCACCCGGTCGTTACTCAAGGACTCGGGCTCAGTGCCACCGGCGAGCGAAACAGTAGACTTTCACTCTGACTGCCTCCAT